TGTAGGTCTCACAGCTGTTGGTTAGGTATAAATATCATAGCTTGGTCTTTGTTACCAACTTTGTGTTGGTTGGTGTAAATGATTAAACTTTTCAAGACAGGAACTCAGTGGTGTTGCTATAGCATTTTCTTGTCTGAAGAAAGACCTGCTTTGACAGCATCTCGGACTTACAGGTGCTTTGGAGAAACTGAGTCTATGAAATCTGTAGTCCTGTAGCTTACAAAAATGGATGTCTGGTATTCCCAGATCCTTGCAGCTGCTCTCTGTGTTTAAGTAACCCCCAGTTTTGGTAGTTTAAATACCATAGGTTATGTTTCCCTAGTGTTAGCATGGCAATAAGAGAAGGGAGAGTATGGACATTTCTGCATGAGTGCAAAGTGCACACCTGTAAAACTTGGATATGGTGCTTCCATTCTTGATGCTGCAGAGCTCCCTCTTCCTGCCTGTGGAGCAGTTACTGGCTGAAACCCAGCCCAGCACTGTCCTATCCCATACCTTATTTTGTTGCAGTTTCATTTGTTTTGTGGCTCGAGTAAAAAAAATCTGTAAATGAAAACCAACAAGTGGTATTTAACATTTGCTGCTGCTGTTTCATGTCACTGGGACACTGGATGCTGCTCTGATGTCCCAGCAGCACAGCATGGGTGTCCTAGTGATGACTGAGAACTTTCCCTTGGGATTCTCAGTCAAGCTGGTCACTTCCTTTCAGCTGGCTGTCTGCAGGGCCATCTGGCTGCTAAGGCTTCAACTGAAAAATTCGCTAAAGCCAAGAAAAAAGAATTTAAAATGGAGCTTTCCTCATCGGAAACTTCATGTCATTCTGTTCTGGCCAGTGGATTTGAGTCAAGCTTGACTTCATCCAGCATGTGACAAAAGAACAGCTAGTGACTCTGCCTTTGGATCTCCAATAGAAGGAAAGTCTCTACAAACCAACTGAGCAACACTGGTGAAGAAGAGAGCATCTGAATTCACCTGAGGAGAGCTCTAGCCAAAGCAATGCCTCCACATTCCTCAGCTTTCCAAAGCAGCTCTGGGATGGTGTTGAGAGCAATTGTTCTGAGTCCCTTTGGTGGGGTGACAAGGGGAAGTGTGTAGTGATTCATGAAGAATAGTTCAAAGGAATGGTGGTGCAATGAGGTGCCAGCAGGAGGAACAGCTAGGGAGGTATGTTGGGTCCTCTGTGCAAACTAACTCAGAATATTCTGATGGGACAGATTATTGTTCCAATGAAATAAGCCTTTACTACGTGGGAGATGAGCATGGCAGTAAACCTTCTGTCATTTGTTTCTCTACTCCTGAGGTACCATTTCTGAGTAACAGAAATGCTGATAGAATATACATTGGTTATTTCCAAGTACTTTAAACACATAAAATGAAAAGAATATTCTCAATGGGATTTTTTTAAATTTTCTAGGAGTCTTGCTGTACCTGATGTGCAGTTTTCTTGTGGCTGAGAAGGTATGTGTCAGCATCATATCATTCCATGCTAAAGTGGCTGACAATGGTGGTTGGGTTTCTAGATCAGTTTGTATGTTTTTGAAAGATTACTGGTATTTTTCATCTTAAATGAGAGAAAGAAATGTAATACTTGCTTCATTTCATTTTTAACAAGCACCTTTTTTCTCATAATGGCCTTCCTACAACTTCTGTCAGGTCACAGAGCTGTATCCTTCAGATGTGTATCTTGTGTACTTCCCTGTGAGTGAAAACAGTCTATCCTTAAAGTAGGATTAAGAGTGAGCTGTGAGACAGATACCCTATTAATGATGGCAGCCTGCTTTTAAGCACTATTTTCCTATAATCAGAGATGTAAGCATCATATAATACGGTTTTATTTGCTCACATTTTAAATTGGCACACAATACAAAACGATGTGTTAAAAAAAAGGCATTTACTTAGTTGTTACATAGGAAAATCTAGAAAAGAACAATAATTTCCAGCAATAGTCATAAAAATCACATCTTGCTTGCTTTGCCTTAAAAGAGCAGTTCTTCAAATGTATTTGCCATTTTAGTTTTGGAAGGGAGTCCTAAACAAGATGCTGACTTGTGAATTACAAGTTTGTTTTTAGGCAGGAAAAACAGTAGTAAGGGGCAACACCTACACTTCTGAAGGGATCAGTTCTTCAGGGATGTCCACCTGCCACACACCTGTTCTCCCTCTGGCAGGAATTGGTTCAAGGAGCCATCTTGGGTTTGAAACAACAGTCAAGTATTTCTGTTCTAGATTACTGAGGACAGCTTTGTTTTCCAGCTCCAGAATCTCTTCAGGAGGCAGGTTTTCTGGATAGAGTGATGTTTCTCCAACGTCAATTAATCCTGTATTGTAAAATTAAAATACAAAATTAGTTGCCTGTTTGATCTCCAAGAGAAAAGTTTTCCAGAAGTTACCCTCTCTGAGGACACACAGAACAGCCACTTTGTTACCAGAGGCACACAGTCAGAGGGATGCACACCTCCAGCCTGTGCCTTTTGCTGCAGAAGACGGACCAGGTGACTGACCTCAGATGGGTGAAGAACAGGAGAAGCACCCAGTTATAATCACCACAACTCAGTGATAGAGAATTCTGTAAAAAGCAGCCTGCAGCTAAGGACATACACCTGCTACCAAAACTCCTGAGCTACATTTGGCCTTGAAACAGATTCATTAAAGCATAAAAAAACTCTCTGCCCCTCTCAGGACACTATTCTATTAACATTTTAAAATCATTAAACTATACGGAAATTCTTGCTGTCTGGAAACCTTTTCATGTCACAAAAGGGAATTTCTATATTGCTTAGTGATTAAAAATGTTAAATAAAGATCAAAGAAGCTTTGATACCTATTCCACAACTGAGTGTGCAATTTATGCCAAGGCTCCAACTCTGCATATAATGTAGGACCTACAGTTTTCAGCACCGAAGAACCACAACAATTTTTCAGTGTGATAGAAGTAATCTGTTGTACCGGAATAGCTACAAATATTCAAATGACAATGAAAGATGGTTTAACAAGTATACCTACACAGAAACGGTGCAAAATGACTGCTGGATAAAAACTTTGTAAGTGGACAGTGCAGCAACATCCACTGTATGTCAGCACAATGTACACAATGAAACATCACTCCATCCTGACTGTGTTACAGAAACAAACTTCTTCACTGCCCAAATACTGCGTTTCAGTAAAACTGAAATAGGATTTATGTAATTACTTATGTAATACTTTAAAATGACATGTAAAGCGCTGCAATGTCATGACTTCACTTGACCATGAGTACTGCAAGAGTTCCTCAGCTCAAAATGCAAAAAGTGTGGAACTGGCACTTATTATATTGAAACAAAATAATTTGCAACCTGTGTTATCTTACTGCATGACGAGTTAGCACAAATCCATTTATTTCTTGAACTGACTTTGTAGCCTGAAGTTTTAAGTAGAGCGAGTGTTTTTAGAAGACAGAGGCCTGACTAAAATTCTTCATCCTAAAGGTTAAAAATACCTCACATTTCCAACACAATGAAATAGTACAAATTTTACTGACAACTTCCCTTGCTGTACTCAGCCTACAGGAACTGAAATAGACCCCCCCATCACAATTCAGGCTCCACTCCTTCAGAGCGCTAAAAAAATGTCATAATGAGCACAACCACGTGAAGCACATGTGTATTTGAATGTTAAAAAACTGAAAGCTTGCTTGGAAAATAAAACCTCAGGTTGCTTACCTGCAATAACTCCTCTGCCGAATTTTTCCCCTTCATCCAACAAATCTTGCACTTGTTTTGGTGTCATACCAAACCTACTCAAAAGAATGTCTCTCCATGATTCATCTTCCCAGTCCTTAACAGCGATATGAATAGCAATGGTGCAGTTCTTGTAGCCTGCTAGTAAGGGACGCCAGCGAGTCTCCACTGTTTTGATCTGGTTCAGAAGCAACCCCGCGTAGGGCTGTCGGAAGGAAAGGCACCCGAATTTCATCGCGTTGCCCGCATCAGAGCCCGTTTATTTCCTGTAAGCACACAGACAGCCGGAGATGAGTCCCTACGAGCGGCCGATGCCAGTGACGAGCTCCCGGCCCCGGAGCTGCGCGGCCTCCCCCGGGGCGGGTCCGCACGGCGGGCCGCGCTCTGCCCGCGCCGCCCGAACCCGAGCACGGCCCCGGCACCGCCCCGGCACCGCGGCGGGAGCTGCCGAGCCCCCACGGCCCGGCGCGGCCCGGCCCGGCCGCCTCCCGCGGGGAGCGCTCGGCCGCCGCACGGCCATGGAGGCCCCGGGGCCGCCGCTTACCTGAGGCGGCGGCTCCGCGCCCTCCGCTGCGCTCGCCGGGGCCGCGGCGGGACGGTGGGTGCGGGCGGGGCGGGCGGGAGGCGGTGGCGGCCCCGGGGGCGGGTTGCCGGGCCCGGCGGTGCTGCGGGTCCCGCCCGGGGCACCGCGTGTTCCCGGTCCCTGCGGGCTCTCGGCCGTCCCTGGAGGCCGGGTGGGGTCACGGGCCGGCCGCTTTCCTCCCCGCTTTCTTTAGCCACTGGTTGGTTTGGGAGAGAATTTTCCCAAGTGCTCTCATCCGGCCCTGCTGCTTGAGGAGCATCTCGTCTGTGTCCTGTGGCTGTTCAGTTGTGTGTTCGGCATCGAGGCTTTGCCTTTCTAATACAAATATTTTGAGCAACGACGCTTCTTACTGACAACAGGTTTTGTCTGTGCCGGTCCCGTTGTGGACCGTGGCAGCAGGGAGCGATGTATGAAGGCCTAATGAGCACAGTAAAAATCGGAGACCTTACAGTAAAGGATAATTTGCATATAAAGGGGGTTAAAATAGATTTGTTATTCTCTGTGTGCTCAGTTTTAATGGGCAACCAATATATATATTCTATGTCAGTAAACACGTGTTTTTACAAAGTCAGTTTCCAGTGTATATAAATAAAAGTGACCTCATTCAGGCAGACACTAATACTGACAATGGCTACTGATGCAATAAGAGTTGAGTCCTGCTTGAATTTCTGCAGGTATAGAAGATAAAAAAAAAAAAAAACAAACAAACAGATATAGCTATATCCAAATAGAAATCACAGGAGATGCCATCTTTCCTGGAGAGCCATCTATAACAGCTGAGGGCTATAAATGTGAGAAGTACTTGGGGAGCTTTTCCACACACACAGCATCTGCAAGTAAGAAAGCAGGGAGGGGAGAACATTGACCAAAAGGAGTGAGTTTGCAGTAGAAGTTAGGAGAGACAGGCAAGAGGAAAAAAAGAGGAAAACTAGGAGAGAAGGAAAAGAAAAAATGGTAATATTTACAAAGGGATGGGTGATGATGACCTTTGTTTTGTCCTTTGCTCTGTTGAACCACATTTTTCAACCATGAGAAATCTCAAAATTACTTTAACAGGAACTCAGAGATGGAAAGACAAAAGTGACGTGCTGGAATTCCACTGGGAGAGAGGTGGCCTGTTCCTTTAAGAAGGGCAGAGAAACTTCATACAGCAAAAGGTAAGATTAATGATGTTTTTTGTCCAGATCTGTGACATTGTGAATAACAGGTATTTTATAACTGCAGGGTTAGATGATTCTTTTCTGACGATAAGTCCTTCACATTGCTTTTCTGAGAGCCAGTTTTGGTGTACACTTTAAGCATACATTCAGTGAATGTTTTGTGTTCTGAAGTGTTTTATGGCTGATAGACTTTGACTGTTGAGACATAGTTTTTCTTATTACCATTTTCTGAAATTTCTGCTTCATTATCCCTTTTTCCCCTGAATATTTCCAGTATTTTGTTCAAAATGTTCCAAATGGAGTAATTCCAGTCCTTTATATAACGCTGTAATAAGCAGATAAATTAATAGATGACGTGAATTTGAAGTCACTGTAGCTTTCACAGGGTTATTATTTTGAATGGGGTTTTTTTTGGCTTTAAGCTATTTCCATCTTACTAGATGTTCATGATTAGTTGAAGAACCTGTTGAATTTGTTTAGAGCTGCAAGTAAGTAATAAGCTTTCATGGGGGTTTTGGTATTTGCTTTGGGTATTTTTCCACTATATAATTCTAGTTTATATGAGGTTTATGTATTTTGGGGAAAATATAGGCCAAAATGTTTTCATGTTGTATAAGTAGCTTTGTTTTATACTCATGTAACTTACAGCAGAATTTTGTATCATGTTTCATCACATAAATAAAATAGATTTTTTTTTTCTTGATTTAAGGAAAAATCTCCAAGGTACTTAAAATCTTAAATCTGAGAGTTCTAAATAAAATGTAAATAGCAGAAGACTTGTTTGCTTCTGCCAAAGGTGAATAAATATTATGCTTAAAATCTCCTGTCACAAAACTAGCTTACTTGGTTTTAGAAACCTTGTCCCACATATTGTGATACTCACCAGGAGACTTAAAAACAATTTCTAGCAGCACCTAAAAAAGGCCCTAAAATTAGCAGTCTTTGTGTTTGTGTTCAGCCTTTTGTGTGATGAGTGGTAAACTGACTTTCGTAGGTTTTCTCAGGATAGAAGATAATGATTTGAGGTGTACAGCACTGAATATGATGAAGAAAATTCATTCTGATCTTAGCAGATGATCAGCTTATGCTTAACATCTTAGATGCACATCATTGTTTCTTAGTCATTGTGGCTTTCAAGTGCTAACACCAATCCTAAATTATCTATTCTTGGTGCAGTACCTCACATGATTATAATCTCAGCAACAGGAAATTCTGCAACTTGTGTATCTACTCCTGTAACATATACTTCCTTTCTGTGTTTCTGTATTAGCTCTTCTTAGCACGTCCCTAAGTTTAATTTTGATAGAATAAAGACTGCATAATTCCCATTACAGAATGTGTTACTGCTTTCTGAGGAGCTAAAACAATGCCTGGTACATCATTTTTAAGGAGGCAGGTCTGATCTCATCTAGATAGGCAAGCATTGCTGTGTTGCTTGTCACATCCACTTAGTAGCTGATTTTACAGGACTCAGTGCACAGCAATAGGGGCTGGGATATCTTGGGTCAAAATCAGGTCAAGGGACTTGATCAGCTGCAGTTCATTTCAGAAGCAGGGACAGATGCAGTGCAGGATGTTCCAGGATACAGAGGTCAAAACTGAAATTTTGGCTGGTAATAAGCCACAAAATACAATTCAATACAATTATTTGTAGTGAGTGGTCACTGTTTAATAGTTGACATTCACAAGAAGCTGAACTGTGTTAACAGATGAACATACATTGCATTTTACTACATTTTAGAATATCAAACTGCGAAATGTGATGCTGTGACTCTATTCTTTTGGCAAGAGTTCCATCTTAAGGACTTCTACCAGCCTTCTGTGTTTTGCCTCCTTTGCCTTAATTTTACTCTGTCTCTCATTCTAATATTATAGTTTGTGAAGCTTCAGTACATGCTGGAAAACTAGCCTCATATTGTTCTTATAGCCAAATGAAAGAGCTTCTAATTTTTGGAGACATTAACTTTTTTGAAGCATATAGGTATGAATTTTTGGTAAAGGGACAAGTGTTTAGTCCCACTGCACTGAGGATGCACCTGAGGCTGCACACCTGGTCTGTACAGCTTTGCAGGTGTGCAGTGGAATAAAGAGTCAGCAATTCCCATGCATCCAGACAGACAAGATGTGATGCAAAGTAGCAACAGGGATCTTATTAACAGGGGAGCTGAACTCCTAAGCTTCCATCATAGATGAGTTTTTGTCTTCCCTTTCATTGCCAATTACTGGGCTTATTGAATAATTTATTTATGATAATTTATCTCAGAAATAAATAGGACATACGTAATACCTGGATGAGTCTGTGTATTTAAAACATTATTTCGGTGATATTCATCTTGCATGCCAGTCTCTACATTCATGGCACCCTTAGTCCTCTAAAATTGCCACAAGTGTCTGATTTTCTTACTTGTTGGGGACAAGGAGCAAACGTTGTTTCTCTCCAGAATATTACATTCCAGTTAAAGGGTTTTCTAAACACTGAAGTTATGATTTGGAGCTCTTATGTAAGTAGGGTCCAAAATTTTCTGATAGGCAAATGTTTTTGCTTCCTGCAGCTATGCTTATTTTTCTGTGTTATTTAAAGCAGCTAAATATGTATATAAGGAAACAATATGTGCACTTTTTTTTTTCCCAGTAAATGTTCTTGGTACTACACAGTGTGCTAGACATCCCTAAACCTTTATTACTCCCAACACATGCAATGTCCTGCCTTGTCCCTTTTCCATTAGATCTTGCTGCTAAATTTTCTGGGCATAGGTTGTGTGAGCATGGGACAGGCCAGGTCTGCTGGTGAGTTTTACCTGCTTAGTGATTTATTTCCAAATTTATAGGTTGCTAATATTCAGAGACCATCCTGGTCTTTCTGCTTTTCTGAAGGTTAAAAGAAGGTTGTAGCTATAGGCTGAACACCAAGCTAGCTGATTTAGAAACATCTTGTGTAGCTCTCTGTAGCAATCTTTTTTGATTGAGATACGTGGCTCCATGCTGAGGTAATCTGCAGGGGAAGGAGAGCTTGTAGTAATGAGCTCTCCTTCCCCTGCTGATTATTATGTCCAATCCACAGGCAACTCTGCAGTATGTGGCTGCATAAAACATTTTTAAAGATAAGACTGATCAACACCTTTTTATGGCCATGAGTCCATAAGCAGGGTTCATGCCCTCTGAAATGCTGAAAACTACTTTTAAATTAATCTGCACTCCTGCTATAAAGGGAGTAGGTTTTATTACTTCATCTAATTGATGCTGTCTGTCCAGTTTTATAATTATTTCAGGTTTTAATCTGTTTTCAGATGCAAGGTGTTACTGCAAGTTTTAAAAAATCATTTAGAGCTGTTTCTAATAGATGGGAAGTTTGCACTACTAAAGTAAAATATGGACAACTTCCTTAATTTCCTTAGTAAAATCTACTTGATATGACAGTTACAATGCTTAGGAATTCTTCAAAAATTTCTACTGTGTTTGGCTAAGTACCTTTTCATTCCATCTAATCAGGAGACACTTAAGAAGAGAAAATGAATTGCCTCACCATTTTGAATTTAGCCACAAAAGATATTCCTGACAAGAACTACAAAAAAGGATTCATGTGCAGAAGCAAATGCATTTTCTAACCTTATGTTCTTTTATAACTAAAACATTACTTTTTGACTATTGATAAAACACTAATAGTTTTCCTCTGAATTATCTTCCCTGAGAGAAATCCCTCCGTATCAGGGGTCAGTTCAGTTCTGTTTCTTCTTGGCTTTTTTGGTTGGCACTTTTCAGTGGGAAGGTTTTTTTGAGTTGTGTTTTGGGGCATTTTTTTGTCATTTTTGTTTGATTGTTTTCAGATTCTTAGTGTCTGTATAGTCTGTGTTAGAGAAGGTACCAATAAATAGGTTGTTATATTACTGGGAAGAATATTATTAAAGAATTTAAGAAAGATGTCACTTCTAGCTGATATAGGTTATTAAAACTGCTTTTGGCATTCTGCATAAGATTTAAAAATAGTTAACTTCTAGCTTGCTCTTCCTAATAATACTAATATTCCTAATATTACTTTAGTGACTTTTGTGGGTTTCACTGCAGTAATAACTGTATGTTATTATTAGTTTTATATTTTTTTTCTTATATATGTATGAATTGAAATTTTAGGTACACCATATGTTGTGAGGTACACTATCTCATACTTTCTCCATTTTTGTTTGTTTGTTTGGGGTTTTTGTTTTGGGTTTTTTTGTTTGTTTGGTTTGGTTGTTTTCAGGAACTTTTTGCATATATTAGACTTAAATGCTCTCTTGATTGTCAAGTGTCTTGATTTTCCACTTCCTTATTATCCCCATTAGCAGATACAGTATATTTTATTCACATGTGCCTACTTAGATGAAGGGTTACATTTCCTTAGGCATACTTGCCAAGAGAAAGCAGTCTGCCATCAGTTATTTCTACAGTGTTAATCTAAGTGTACCCTGCAGTACTCCATATTGTGTTTTAATCATTAATAAAGATGTCAAACGAGCCTTATTTCTAATCCATCAGCAAGCAGAAATATAAAAAATATAATTTAGGCCGATTTTATGCCTAATCTGAGCATGTCTTAATTATCAAAGTAGGTGTGAATTGAGGGCGAATAAACTCGTTGCAAAGAAACTCAGTAAAACCCCCTGTAGGCTGTCCCGGCTGTCCCTGGGTGGCGCCCGGACCCACCGAACAGTCCCGCGGGTCCCGAGCCCGGGGCTGACACCGGCACTGCGGCTTTCCATAAACTCTCCTTCGGCCTGCCTTTAACTACTTGCTCTGCTTCTGGGAGACGGCGTTGTTTCCATACCAGGTCAGAAATAGTGATGATTAGAACAGGGACAACAGATTATGTTAGTAGCACGAACTGTCATTTAATTGAAAAATCAGCTTGGAAGTATCTCATGTAGGTAACTGAATTACTTTACATTAAAGGGAGGGAAGATGCTGACATGCTGTGCACTGCAATAGTCTGTGGCACAGTTGTGTTTTATTTAGGTAACAGA